CGCTCCAGCGCTTCCCAAAGCGCGATTGCATCGCGATCCCGTCCGCCTCGTCCGCCTCCTCGAAAAGGGGGGTTCGCTCGCGCGCCTCGAGGGCGAGGCTCGCGGGGTGGGGATCCCGTCCCGGCCGGGAAGGGGTCGAACCCGCCGAGGTGAAGGCACGCGTGCTCGTTTCCACGGCCGCCAAGGAGGGAGGCGCCTCCTGCGTTTTCGACCCCGCAGGAACCTCGTTCCTGGAGGGGAAAGACGAAAACCCAGCAGAGGCAGATGGTGGTCGTTGCCGCTCCACGACCTTGGGAGACCGCGCCGGACGAGGCCCCCTCCTTGCCCGTCGTTTTGGGGCGCCCCTCTGGAGGTCCTCCGCCTCCTCCTCCTCAGGGGCATACCCCGTATCGTTGTGGGAAACGTTATGCGAAGACGACGGCGTCGGATCGACGTGGGCTCGACGCGATCCACGCGTCTTCGCGGCGCGATCCCCTTCGTGGATTCGTTTAGACGCGTGGGGGGGTTCGCCGGATCGAAGGACGCGATGCGCGCGTTCCCGCGTTCGCTCATCACGGTCCTCACGATAAACGGACCCCGCATCACTCGCGGCGTCAGAATTTGAGGAGTCCGAATCAGACGGAGACGGGGATGGGGAAGGAGAAAGAGGATACTCTAGCCTCGAACTAAAAAAAGTGGAGGAGCCCTCCTTTCCGCTCCCGTAGCGTCCCTGCGAGGAGCTGTCGTGTCGCTTTTCGTCAAATCTCAGGTTTCTCTGAGAAGGTTCTGGTCGTGGGTGGGCCCCTGCCCGCGCCAGCGCCGCGGAAGACGAGCCATCCATTCCTGCTGAGTGAATCGCCGCCGAATACAGCCGCTCAACCCCGCGGTCTGTCGCCTGTAGCAATCTCCGAACCTGCTTGGGTAGGCTGGCGGCAGTGCTGTTGCCCGATCTATATGGAAATGTCATTTCTATTTATTTATTTTTAAGCTTTATATGGCAACTCTTTTCCAAAGGGATCAAGATGGTTCTTTTGGGAGTTGCTTCAAACGCTTAGGAAGTCAGGGAGGCTCACGCTAGGGCCTGCGCAGGTGCCTATATCAAATTAGGTGTCTATGCAATGTAATGATATACGTACTGAAGGAACGTGTCTTTTCAGACTACCTTTGTCGAGTTTTCTTTACCTTCCTCTTGATCTATGGGGTCGAGAAAAAGAGAGGAATATCAAATGACCACAACGATGCCCTTTAGCAAAGACAGTGATGTTGAAGAAGCACGCCAAACTCAATGCAAGCGATAAACAAAGAGCTCTTCTTCCCTGACTGGAAGAAAAAAATCAACATAGTCAAGAAATATGGACCAAACAATAAAAAGATTCCAAAAGCAGAGAAAACCAAAGTACAACTTGACGGAATGGAAGAGATGAAAAGCAAATACGGAGGAGGGCGTTTGCTTATCACCTTAAATAATGTCCTCAATATCCTTTGAGGATTCCCACACCCGCTGTAAATCATTTAGCACCTCAACACCAGCCCATACTCGTAGGCCGCGAGAACACCTCTTTGGGTTGCCGCTTCGCCCTCGCGGAACCAACGAAACCGTTCGAATAACCTTCACAGCCTTTGAACAACGGCGAGGTGAAGTTTGCACCTTCCCCTGTGCAAATTTCCCCTCTCGCTCTACAGAAATGGATACCTCCATATCCATGGGATGCGTAGTTTCGTTCCGCATCATCGATCGAGCGGTGGGTTGGGAGCTTTCCACAACGCAGGCCCCCGCCAAGATGTCTGTGAACTCGGGATCCTGGGCTGTGACACGATTTTTTTTCTGATCCCTTTCGTTGGCATGACGTTCACGCACAACCCTCGCACTTCTGAGGGGAAACCCTTTACGAAACGACGGTTGGAGGACTTGTTTCGTGGAGAATTGACTTCGGGTGGTCCGCACTCCCTCGGAAAGTCCTGCTGCCGTAGATTCTTCGTTTTCGCAGTCTCGATTTTCAGCCGTGAATATCGTGGACGCGTCGGATGGAGGAGCCACACGAGCCGCGCTCGGTGCGGAACGTGCGGCTTCAAGAGTTTCTGCAACTGGACGAACTTTCCCTTTCTTCCCGTTTGGGGAAGCGATAAAAATGCTCAGATCACTCCCCGAAGGCGATAGAATACTGGTGATTCGATTTGTTGGAGAAAAGTCCAAGGGCGGCCTAGAGGGATACTTTTCAGCGCTCGAATTGACCGGACCCTTCCATCGCATCATGGAAATCGAGGATGCTCGACTGGTATTGCCACTGGAGGCCCCTACGCCTCGTTTGGATGGATAATGGCCGTAGCAATAAGGATTGGTAAGCCGCAGTAATTCGATTCGGGTGCTCAGACTGGATGCCATGTCCTTCCCCTGATGCCCAGTCTTATTGCGGTTGCAGATCGAAACCCCAACACCATTTTCCTCGCGCTTTTTAGACGTCATCTGCTCTGATTGAGAAGGAAAGGATGTCATGGGAGTCCTCCGCGGGCTCGCACCGGGCGGTTCATCGGTATCCAAAGAGGATAAACCAGACGACTTCCCCCTATCCGAGCCCGACGATGCAGAGCAAAGTCTAGAAGAAGACGATTCCCAACTAGAAACGGTCTCAAATGAAAGGCGATGGACCGAAAGATCGTCAACAGAGATCGTTTCACGGTTAACTAGTTTTTGGTGTGAAGCTTCAGAATCATCCGGTTTACAGCATGACTTCGAAGAAACGAAAGTGGTGGCGCGCAGCTTTCGTATCTGGTTTGAGCATGGCTCTCGTGATGTGCGACCTCCCATAGGCCTTCGAGCAATGATCGACAGGTCAGATCTTTGAGAAGGTGTAATGGGAGCTGAGGTTGCAATCTTATTCCCTCGATGTGCAGCCGAAATGCGTGATCGCCGTTTTATATCATCTTTCTTAGTTGGAATGAGACGCCTTCGCCTATCACGTCTTCCGGACTCATCTTTAAATATACTATCTAGCGAGAAGACAAATGCGGCTGATGATAATTTGCTACTGTCTTTGTTGCATTCATTAGGACAGACATGGGAACTAGCACGGATTGAATTAGATGGAAAAGATGATGCCAAGGGAGCGTTAAAAGTCCCTATAGGCGGCATCAACGCAGTGGCTGGACAACTCCTACGTGCAAGGGGAGCGGTATAACCCCACTTTGTGAGGTGATTCATTCAAAGGGTTTGTCGGACTTTTTTTTATTTGTAGCGGCTAATATGTCCTCCCTTCATCACAGAAGATAAAGGAGAAGAATAACAAGAGCCAGCCTCTGTCGCTACGAGGAACCTCGAACGTGAATCAATCGGCTTTCACTTTCATAACCCTATTTATGGAAACCCCGGAAGAAGAGCCTGATAAGTGAAAAGGAGAATCATATTTATAGTGAGAAAAACTGTGGGATCATGAACATTGAAACGAAAAAGAATAAGAAGAAGAATCAAACGAGAATCTGAGGGGCATAAACTCTCACCTACTCCTCTTTTTGCACTGCCACTTCATTTTATATTCCTAATCCAATGTGCATAGGTGAGAATATCATGCAAGATGCTATACACCTTCCTGCTTTGGGGAAAAGGGGAAGGAAGCATCCAAGCCGAAATGAAGCATATGCCGGTTTCTTAAATCTGGCTTACGACGCACACGACGCCTATCCTGCCTCCCAGAGGTGCTGCCTGGACCTCCATCTGCCATTTTTTTCCGCATTAAATGCCTCACCGCACGCAGCTGCGCTTCGTGAAGGAGGGCACTCTTCGCGTATACGATACCCGTCGCCGCAACCACCACTTCCTCCGAAGGGTAGGTAGCATCCCGTACTCCGAGCACCAACGGCGAGCTGTTCTGCCACCACGGAAGCAGACCATACGTCGCCTTACCAGACACGTTTATCGGACTCGAAGGCGATGCGGTTGCGCTCACGGTACCGTGAAGCTCATCCTCGCCTTTGGGTTGGACGGCATTGGTGTCTTTCGCCGGTGCATTCGTGAGATCCGATCGCGCAGAAGTCATTCCATCCCCCAAAACCATAGGATCCATTAGGCGATACGGTAACGGCAAGGAAAAACTACCCGGTTCGCGCTCGCGCCCAATGAGAACGCCCGGGGTGGTGGTATCCACATCCACTACCTCCATATTCACAATGCACTCCTGCCCATTCACGACGAATATGAGCTTAAACGGGGAAACTGCGCAAACCGCCTCGATGTCCATCTGAACTTTGGTCGACCGAATCGTTTGTCGGGCGCCAGCGTTATGGTGAGGTAACGCCGTGCTCGCGATCTCGGATTTGGTAAAAGGTGCCGCCGAAACGACCCGTTCGGAGGTAATACTCCGCGCGCGGATGCTCAGCGGATCGGTCGTTCCTAACGAAGGCGTCATCGGGTTTATCCCGCCGTGGTTCACAGCGCCACTCGGCACCACCACACGCCATCGCACCTGAAGGCCGTCTTTTCCCCCGTCGATTCGCCGCAAAACCGCGTTTTCGTTATCGAAAGTTACGAGAAGCCGCTCCTGAAGCTGAAGACGGATTGGCAGGCAGTGCGCATCGCTCACCGCGATCCCACGCCAGGTAAAAAGCTTATATCGGATCCGAATTCCCAACGGCAAGGGCACCACCGCCGTCGCGACGCCTGAGATCTCACTCAGAAGCTGCCGTTGGCCAAGCGACGACTCCGTCGTCGCCGAGGCGGAGGAGGAAAGCCCCCCAACGGCATCCCCACCACCCCCGTTTCCACCGATCACCTCCCGCCGGATGAACTTATCGGAAAAGTAAAAGGCAAGCCCAGAGCGTTGGCTATCCCGAAGTAGGTTCTTTGACAGAATTATCTGGTCGGTATGCAACCCGACGCACTCCTCGGGGTCAGGGATCATACCCGGGGTGTTGATCAGCCCCTGCAGCTCCGTCAACGAGCGGAGCTCCGGACGCCGACAGATGAGAAAGGCTCGATCGGGTAGGGGGCGAGAAAAAGAGGAACGGGATGGCGCCGGCCCCGGGGTGGATTCGTTATTCTCAATAAGCAACTCAATGTTGCGGTTGCCGCACGCCCCTCTTGCCATGAGGCCAAACCATTCCTCGGGGAAACGCTGCAATGCGGCCCCACGCGGCAGGAGATAATCTAGCTGAGCAATGGAATACTCCACATTCGGATGGCTAGATAGGAATTGCAGCAGCTCATGGTGCTTAATGCGCTGCGGTTGTGTGAGTATTTCTTTCAGCTCACTCATACCATGTATGAAAAGATGTATTCGGCCCTTAGATTCCTAAAATATAGAGATATTTGCGCTAGGTTCGATTCACTCCGCACCTTGTGCTTGACGATGTCGAAAAGGATCGTGATGGAAGACATATTTTGTTGGGAAAAAAAATAACATCCTGTTTTTCCTCTCCGCCCTATACGCCTCTGGCTCTTTTTGAGTGAACGATAACCATATGATTTTTTTTTAGTATTCTATTCTGTAAAAAAGGAGAGGAACCATGCGAAGTTACCCCTCAATGTATGGAACGCGGTGAGGCGTAGGAACAAAAGAATCCAATCACGTCCTGAACACCCCACCATTGGAGTTTTTTTCGTTCCATTTGCCCTTCTAGGGCAACCCGTGGGATGCCCCTTCGCCCCTGGTTAAAACTCATCACAGCTGCGAAGGGGATTCAGGACAACCGTGACCGTCACCGTCGTCTCGCCCTCCGAGGAGGTGTGCACCACACTGAGCTGGCGCTGCCTATTAATCTGCAACGTCAGATGCTCAAGCCC